GCATTCAAATATTTGAGAGGACTTGGGAAAGAATTTGATCAGAGTATCACACTCAGATACTGTCTCTTTTCAAATCTCCTATATGTAAGCTAGTGGGAAAAGATACAGTTAAATGAATTTTTCTGGGAAAGAAAATACAGAGCTAGATCCCCAAACAGGCAGGACTGCAAGTGCATACCGTCATACCCCACAGCCCAGGATGGAAGTGCCTTTCTCTTTGGCTCTGTGAGGTGGACTTATTTCCAGCCTAGACCCCTGTGACCACTAACTCTTAGGGATGGAGAGTAAGTGCCTACACTGAATTAGCCCTGATTGCTAGGGTTACTGGGCGGTAAGCCTCCCAGTGCACTGTCTGGAATGCATTCCTGGTCTGAGCCTCAGCGTGAAAAGCTGGATGGCTTGTTGGTGGACTAATGTACACCCAACTTCATATGGAAGACAGCGTCGCTGCCGGGCTCTGGAAGAGGACTTGGAATGTTTGGCTTTGTAATTTGCTGTGGGTTTTTCCCCCTTACTTTACTAAATTTGTTTTTTGATTTTTAATGGAATGTGGGGAAACAGCTTACTGAAAATGTTAAACTTACCAAAGTATTATTAATTTAGTGAGTCCAAAATGCCTTGACTTCAGAGATCAGTAAATGGCATGATCCTCACATTGTATATCCAAAGGGGAATTTCGAAGAGTGAGCAGTGAAGGGTGTTTATTCCCCCTGTGGTTGCTCTTCTTTTGTTTCTGAAGGATTCTTGATTTGCTCACCCAGTATACATTCAGCAGAAGCTCAAACTTCTGACAAGAGAAAAATGATTTTCTGTTAACTTTTAAAGTGGGTGTTTGGTCTGCTCCTGGGATGTCTAACTGCAGACTCTTTCCATCTGAACATCTGCACACACTGCCAAGCACACGAGTAGTCCTAAACTAGTGGATCCAGAAGGCTCTGCTCCTGTGCAGAAGGGCTGGCGCGGCCCATGGGGCTTCTGGAGTCAAACTACTCTGCGAGGGCAGGTGCTCCACGCTGTCTTCTATGAGGCGCTGCAGTGTGCTTTTTCTCACATGTTGAATGAGGACTGGGCTTTGGTGGTTGAAGGTTTATTTTAAACTGGCACTTGCAGACATGAAGTAATAATGTAAAATAAGAAGCTGATTTTGCATTCTCCTGGTGTGATGCTCCAAATGAAAGCCCTCCTCCTGGGTCTCTTGTTGGCTTAAAAGCTCTGTAAAGAGACCCCCAGGATCTGAGAACCCCTCCTGGTTATCAAAGGCCAGTTAAACACCACCCAAGATGTCCAGAGAGCACATTTTGTGAGGCAATTAATAGACACTGGCTGGACTCAGCAGGTTTGATAGTCTGCTAGTTTATATTCTCTCCTCTGGTTTTAAATTCTATTTGTGAAGATGAAAACAGAGCCAGACTTTCCCAAATCCAGCTCTTCCTCTGTAGGTACAGCTGTGAGCCAACTGCCTGGCTGCTCCTGTGTTTGGGTAAAATGCTAAATGACAACTTTAATTGAAAATCCTGAGAAGGCTGACCTAGGGCATCTTTAGAGAGATGCTTCCAGCCATGGTGCGAGTTTGTAGCAGGTGCTGGTAAAACAGGAAAGCCTTTCAGATGGTCTTTTGTTAAGTTGTAAACTTTCTGTTCTTTGGACGTAATTCTGCAGTTGATCCTTCGGATAAAAAGAAATTATTTTCTGGTAGGACCACCTTTTAGATATGATAACATCAAAAAACATTCTCTTCTTGCTGCAGCAGTTGTGCTTTAATAGCAGTTCTGCTGGGTGTTGTGTGGCTAAGGACAGCGTGCCTAAGGGCCTTGCTTAGATAGGGACTCACTGCTCTGCCTCTCCCTCTATATTCTTGTACTTTAGCTGGTGACCTGCTCTTTCCTGTATCCTCGTCCTATACTCTGCACTACTTTTCTTTTTTCTGTTATACAGGCATACCCAAGTGTTTCCCATAATGAAAAACAGGACGCCCCTGACTAAGTTTCCTGTTGCTTCTGTAACAAAGTACTACAAATTCGTGGCTTAAAACAACACAAGTGTTTTCTCATATGGAAGTCCTGAAATCAAGGTGCTGGCAGGGCTTCTTCCTTCTGGAGGCTTGAGGGGAGAATGTGTTTTCTTACCTTTTCCAGCTTCCAGAGGCCATCTGCATTCCTTGGCACATGGCCCCATGTCTTCTGACTTTTGCTTCCATGGTCACATATCCTCTGGTCTGTAGGATCTTAGTAAATGAGGGCATTGGGCCCACCCAAATAATCCAGAAGTTCTCCCCATCTCAAGTTCCTTGGCCCCATCTGCAGAGCCCCTTTTGCCATGTGGTTATGTATTCACAGGTTCTAGGGGTTAGGGGGTGGAAATCTTTGGGGGGCATTATTCTGCCTACCACAATCCCCACCCCCTCTTGATACAGAGACCCTACCTACCACCCCCTTTGCACATGCACGTAGACCCGGGCTGTGAACCTATGTACACATATGTGTTCCTTCATCTGGTGTATAAAAGGCAGCCCTATCCCAAGCTTTCTTCAGCTACTGATTGTTTTCCCACCAGTGTGGTTTCATCTCTCACTGCTCCTCTTGTCCTCATGCAGAGCCATTGGCCACTCGGTCACTTTGACATGAGCCCCCTTGTGTCACATACTGTCAACCCCCCTCCCCTGGCTTTTCCCGTGGCCTGCTCACTTCGCTTCCTCCCAGCCTGTCTCCAGATAGGCCTCAGCTGCACCACAGTGGTGTTCTCCTCAGCATCTTCTCAGTCACCCTAGACACTCTCAGCTACTGGGTGTGGCTGCACAACCCTGTCTTATAAGCCACAGACAGACTCAGTCTTCCAGCTGCCCACTGGTCATCTCTACATGGCAGCCCCCTCTATAACACCCACAGGCTGCTCTAGTTTCTATAACCAGACCTGGCATTGCCTTCCCTGGGCAGACTGCCTCTTCCTTATGTCACCCAGGCCTTCCTGACCCCTTCAGGCCCTTGGAGGCTATGTGCAGGTATCAGTCACTGCTCTGCTAGTCCAGGGATGGGACCTGCAACTCTTTTGGCTCAGAAGTCCACAAATTTATGCCAAAGTTCTTGTCACAATCATGTCGAAGTTCATATCACAGTCTTCCTTCCACCTGCGGTCTCCTATCATCTGAGCAGCAATGTTGGGGTCAGGTCCTTCCGACTCAGAGTGTCCCCTACTTTCCTGATACCTCCCTGGACTCTGCCAGACAACTGCACACATTCTCTTCTAGGATCCCACAACAGCAGCAGTCCCTTGGGTTTGATGTTACTGGGTGAAAGATGTGTACTTTCATCCGCAATCTCTTTTAAAGATTCCAAACCCTTGGAGAAGCTGGGCTGTTTTGTTTTGTTTTTTTCCTCTCCTGTGACCCAGAAGTCTCTTGGCACCCAAATAAAACCACCATTCACACTGTATCACAGGCCAGAAAGCCAGAGTCAGCTTGTATCACTGGCCCCTCCCTGCCTCCAGGTGGGCACAATTCTTCTGCTTCTAGTCCCCAAAAGAGCTATGAGTTACAAGACCCCACTTCAAGCCTGCATCTAAGAAAGGAGAGGAAGGATATTTAAGGAAGGATAGAGTATGGACCCAGGGCCTTGAAGGAGGTCAGGAGATCTCCATCTGTCCTTGTTTCTGAGGTGATTGGTCTTGGGGACAATCTCTGTGCTGCTCATCCAGGCGACACATTGTTTATGTGTCTGTCATTACACGACCACCATTGTAGAGAAGCCTGACAAAGGCACATCTCAATGACTTGTGGGAAGCCCTGTGACTGTGAATGCATTTTGCTGATTACAGTGAAGAAAAAGATTGGGTGTTTTTTTTAAAACTGTGTTAGTACCTGTTCTAAAAGGCAGAATTTGGAATATTTCTGTGTATGCGTGGTGTATTTAAGTTTGCTCTTTGTCCATATTGATTTAAAACATGAAAAACTCTATTTTTCCTTCCTTCTATTACTTGGCAAAACTGGGCTGGAATGTTCTAGTCATACAGCAGACTTCCCGCTCTGCAGTGAGGCCCTGCCTCAGGTGCAAGTGCTCCTCTCGCAATCTTCTTATCCAGCACCACGCAGCCACCTTGCCTTCACTGATGGGACCTCTCTGTGGTTGTGAAGCATCCCCTTGTTGCCTCCTAGAACACTCTTCTGCCCTGTGTCCTGCAGGGCTGGCCTCTGTGGATCATGTCACCTGGGCTCCCTGCCCCTGACTTCTGGCTGGTAGAGGCAATGGGAGACACCACAGGAGGCTGGATGGTGGGAGGAAAGATGACTGCGATCTCCTTGTCGCAGTGCTGTCACTGCCTCTCTCCTGCAGCTCCAGCCCTTCTTGGGTTCTTAAGGCCTTTTCCTCCTGTGGCTCCTGGAGGCCTATGCCATCAGAGGCTCCTTGCCATGGTCAGTCCTAGCATTTCACCCTCCCTTGACAGTTTTCCTGAACCCTGCAAACACCTACTTAGGACGCCCTGGATTCAACTCATTTTAATGCTCCCCCATGAGTGCTGTTTCCACCCAGGACCCTGGCCACTATAGGGACTTCTTTGTAGGTGATTTCATCAGTGGGTTTTTCGAAGTTAACTTCAAAAATTGTGAGTCAAAGCATAAACATGAACTGCTGTTTCTTAGGCCCCAGCCTCCCAGGTGTCTGTATGGTTCTCCCACCTCCAGTTTTTACCTAAGTGCCAACCTCACTGCTCTCTGTCCCTTCCCCTCCTATAGTACTTGTCAACTTCCTGACATTAATGAGAACACTTAGGTGGTTTGTTTCCATCTGCAGCTAGCTCCCACCCTTAGGAAGCTTCTGGCAGGGTTGTGTTATGGTTTAACTGTTTAACTCTGTGGTGTCCATATACTCACACCAGAGATCTGCTACAGAGCAAGCACTCACTAATATTGTTGAATAAATGAATGAATGAAAGACATCAGTTGGGTGAGCTAGGAAAACATCCATTCATTTTAAACAGAGTGTGCTGTTGGTTTTTCCCTCCTGCAGCTGCCGGGCCGTCGGTACTGCCCTGGGTACAACGCTGACGTGGGTGACAAGTGGATCTGGCTGAAGTGAATGGGCTGCCCTCTGCTCCAGCTGTATCATCACCACAACAAAGCAACGCTGGTCTGCCAGACTTTCGTGGACTCTGTCTAACTTTAAAATTAGAGGGACAAGTAAATTATCCGAAAATTGCACAGTATAAGAAATGGCCTAGCAAAAAGCAATCTGCCCTGTAGCAGCATTAATGGAGTTGGAAGAAATAACTTCCATTTAAAAGGTTTTGGAACCTTCTAACTTTATTTTGGAATGATCCATAATTATCACTGGAAGAAAATGGGTCTGCTGTGGAAGCTCAGCCCTTGGCAGAAGCTGTTGCTCTGTGTCATGCAGGCTGTGTACATTGTTTTTCAAACTTCCAGAAATAAAGTCATTTCTGTGGAGCTTCTCCCCATTATACATCTGCACACACATGGGCACAGCATGGGTATATACAAAGGGGACTCGAAAAAACCTGGAATTATCAAGGCAGGCCCCTTGTAGTACACAGACTTCCCTCATTAAGTAAGTGTTCTCAGAATCCATTGGCATCAGTGTACCAGCTAGTCTTGTTGTGAGAGGCTGCGTTAGGCTTCAGTGAATTTTTTTTGGAGATTCTTTCAGTGCTTGCTCATTTCATGCTGGGTGATTTACAAGCACACCTGCCCATACCATACTGAGTGGCCAGCAGTTTTGACCAAAAACATAATGACTCTTGTGCCCTACCCTTTCACCTGATTATCTCACCCAGAGCAACTTTTTTTTGTTTCCTTGAATGAAAAATGTCCTCAAAGGGAAACATTTTGGATGTGGAGGAGGTGGGGAAGAAAATGACAGAAGCGCTAAAAGGCATCAAAATTGATGAGTTCAAAAACTGTTTTTGAGCAGTGGAAAAAGTATCATGATAGGTGTAGTGCATCAAATGGTGAGTACTTTGAAGGTGACTGAAATTTAAATATGTAAGAATATATACACAATTTTTTATAAATAAATTCTGGGCTTTTTTGGTCCCCCTTTACTTAGGCACTGTTGCTCTTAGATTTGGTTTAATTCATACTTATGTTGAAGAGTTTTTCTGAAGTGTTTATTTGTTTTAGTGAGCTACATTAGAGTGAACAGAAAAGATGAAGAAATACCAAAAAGAGGAAGAAAATTGCCGTGGATTTATAGAACCATGGGCTTCAAGAGAAATTTTAGAAAAGGTTATTGTGGTGACCATCCTCAGCTGGTCCTGTCATGCCTTTCTCTGAAGTTAGATTTGAGCTTAGAATGTTGATTCAATAAAATGCAAAAGCAAAATAATATACTCTGTTTATTACCCCCAAATCAAGTTGTCAATCAAAAATGAGCAATGAGAAAGAAAATCACATTTTTTATTCACCTCTATTGAAATTTAAGAAACGAAATCAAGCTGGCCGTGGTTCAGTATTATCGTTTAGAAATAAGCTGTCAGTTGTGAGTCCTCTTAAACTGTGAGTTCTGCTGTAGTGCTCTGCTGTGCCCCATATGGTAGTTCCTAGCCACATGTGGCTATTTAAATTTAAATGAACTAAAATGTAATGCAACTTAAAATTCAGTTTCTTAGTTACACTGGCCATAGTTCAAGTACTCAATGGCCACATGGGCAGTGATTTCCATAGTGGCCAGTACAGAAAAGAGTGTTTTCATCATCACAGAAAGCTCTGTTAGGCCTTGGTGCTGTGGTACATGCTTAAGATTTACACTCCTTCCTCCCTCTTTCTTCCTTTCTTCCCCCTTTTCCTCCCTCTTTCCCACCTTCCCTCTTTCCTTTCCTTTTTTCCTTCTTCTTTCCATCTGTCCTTTTTCTCTTCTCCCTTCCTCCCTGCTTCCTTTCTTCCTTCTTTTAAGAATTTAAAGTTTCCCAGCAGTTTTGGGGTTGGACTCCAGATTTAAGTGACTGAAGTTTAGCATTTTAGTAAGAAACCAACAGCTTTAATCATTAAATGAAAGCACAGCTAGGCATTGAGCCAGTCATGGAGTGTCTTTTGGTCTAAATGCCTCACAAACCCATTAAGGAGAGGAGGAAAGAAAAAGAAAAACATCTTAATTATCTTGGATGGTCCTAATGTCTTTGGCTGTAATGAACTAACTGTTTACTTAAACCTTGACGGTTGGTCTGCAGTATGGTCAGGATTGCTGTTAGGGGTGCAGCACCGTTGGTGTTGGCTTTGTGTAGACTCCACTACACAGATCATCTCCCGCATTTGTGTCTGACCCTGTGTGGTTGTGTTCCCTTGGTGGAGTTTGAGGTTTTAATTTGTGGTACTGAGGATGTTCATCTGTTTCATTTTCTGGTGTTTTATATGTGTGGGACAGAGAAAGACCAATAAACATGGTTCAAGTCTTCTCTCCAAATTGAAACCCTGAAGAAGAGGTTAGTAGGTGTTCCTAATCTATGTATTTCAGAGTGGTACGTGATTTAGTTTCACAGAAATGCTTACAACCTTCAAAAAAAAACACAAAAACCCAGGGTCAAAATAAAATCATGCATTTTTGAATAGTCCATGTTGAAACTCTCAGTGTTTGAAGATTAGGAAATAAGCATGTTGTTACAACAGTATGGCTTTGTGTCTGGATTTTATTCTTTCAGGTATGTGTTTATAGGCATGAGAATTTTGTATTGAAGGGAAAGTTCTCATTTTTTTCCAAAGTATCTTTTTGTTCCACTATCAGATTTAGTAACCCAGTGGTTAGAACTTTGAGCTTCTTAGAGGAAATCACATGCAGTTACATTTGTCCACTTCAGTTAAAGCAGGGCCAGCCCTGGCGGCAGCAGCATGTTGCCTGGCCTCGTGCTGTCAAGCTGCTGCTGACTGCTGTCCAGCCAGGAGCCATCGAGCTGCAGTACTCAGCTGCCTCATCCTGCCAAGGTGTTGTGGCAAAAACAGCAGGTACAAAAGGTCCACCTTCAGGCCACTGGTAGACCCAGAGACCCTCAGTGACACCGTGTGTCTGTTGAATTTAAGTGTTGGGTTCTGTAGTACAAGAAACTGAAAGAAGTTCTTGTCTTGCTGGACATTTGTCCCCTTTTTTGGCCACTGACTGGCTTAGAGTCTTCTGTGTCCTGCTTACCAGTTACAGATTTCTGAATTGGCTGTTCTTAACAGTGCACATGTCAAAGCAAAGAAACAAGCAGGCAGCTGCTTTCTGGTAAGAAAGCATAGTCCATGCTCACCCAGAGTTCAAATCTGCAAGAGTTAGGGGTTTGGCAGAGTGGGGGTGGAGAGAAAGCAACAATTACTGTCATACGCCGGGGATTTTAGAAGAAAAGCATGTGTAGGCAGCAGCTACTGGCTGGCCAGAATTTGATGAATGGAGCATGTGCCCGAGTGATTTGGGCTTTATATCTGGATGTAAATAAAAGCTAGGCGCCTGAGGCTTTGCTTTAGGAAAATCACGAGCCAGAAAACAGAGGAGGTAATTCTCAGCAATCACCACCCATTGGTAGGGAGTTTTTGATGCCTTCTTGAATTGTACAAAGGGAAATACATTTTACAAGTGACACTTCAGTCCATGATGAACAGAAAGGCTCCCTTGGGGAGAAGGAGCCCCTTCTCAGTAGTGTAACCCTGACCTTTCTGTCCTCCCTATTTGGGTGTTGGAGAGCCCCACAAGGCTGGGAGCTCCAGTTCCACATTTGTCCCAAAAGGAGCAGTGTTGTTCTCAGCATGATCCACCTTTGAGGCACAATGTGGTCATGGGTTCCACATGGCTGCAGTTGCTGAAAGCAAGCAGCGTATGTGAGTATTTTTCTAATAGGAAGCCAAATGAAAGTCAGATTTTATCTTTAAACATGTGAATATGTTTGCTCGTTTGTGTATAGCATTGACTTATAGTTTTGAAAGTCTTAATTTAAAAGTTGTTTTAATAACAATAGTAAATTTTTCACCAGTGAACATTCTAAATTAAAATTCTGAAGCTCCCTGGTCAGATCCATTTGCTAGTTGCATTTTGGGAAGTGCTCATTTTAGTGCTATACAGTTTCATGGAATAAACATTTTTCTTAATGAGGCTATCTATGCCAAGTGATTATATTAAAAAATCTCGGGTTTTAACTTCTAAAAGGCCATTTTCCTCTGACATATTTTACATGGTGATGCATTCTTTCCTACAGCGAGTGTTTATGGAGCCTCCGTGTCCCAGGCACTGTTATCAGTGCTGGACAGATGGCAGCAAGAAAGCAGGAGGACAGAGTGCAGCTCCAGAGAGGCTCAGGTGGAAGCTCCTGATCCAGGGTCATTCCTTTGTAGAAACTATAAAACCTGCAAGACTCAATGAACCCAGCAGTGAAATGAGGATGTCAGGGTCTGAGGTCTGAGAGGGCCTGGCCTGAACTCCAAGGCATCCTACCATAGCCCCACAGAAGATGTCGGGAGGGTGGGGAGTGGGCTTGGAAGGCAAGGGAAGGATACCATGCTCCTTACTGGGTCAGCTGTTCCAGAGAGAAGGACCTACAGTGACCGTTGATGTGACTTTGACAAGATCCATGTCTGTAGAGCTGGGACTCTGAGCTGAATGGAGTGGATTCAAGAGCATGGGAATTAGGGAAAGAACAAAGGATCAGCTAGGGTAGAAAGCATGAGTCCCATTCAGTTGTGAGTTTCCTACCACAGAGCTCTATTATGACATCATTCCTCCCACCAGAAAAAAGCAGGTGAGTTTAAGCACTTTCCCCCTGATCCTTGTTATTGAGCCTTGTTCTATTTAGGAGGCAGGAGTAGAAAGGTGGGTGTGACTCTCAGTAGGCAGGCAAGTGGCATTTTCCCCAGTCAGCCCTCTCCTGGAGAAGGGAGGAAAGCGAGACTGGCGTTGAGCATTCGTCCCTCAGACTTTTCAAGAAAAATATGAAGCCTCCGAGCAAAGGGCAGCTTTCTCTGAATATTACAGTATAAAGTTTACAACTCAAACCCTTTGCAAAAATAGAAACCTGAAGGATTATCTTAGTTTTGCATTTTAGACAGAAATGAAGCCAGTAGGATCCCAAGTACTCAGGCCCTGAGCCTTGGGGCTGCCCCAGTCTGCAGCAAGGAGGAACAAGTGCTGATTGACTGGTCTCAGCTTTGTCCAACTTGTGATGATGACTACTCATGCATCCTCATTTTAGAGGAGCTCTTGCCTGTGAATGATGAAGTTGTCAGTCTTCTGCTGGGATTTTCTGCATCTTGCATATGGTAGTGGGGATGGACAGTCCCACCTCTGGGTGTTGGTGCTGGGTGCTACCTGGAGACTTGGCACTCCCAGTTCTTGAACAACCTGTGGACCTGTGGGTCAGTGCACAGCAGCTAGGTTTCAGAACTAGTTTTTCTCTTGGGAGCTGGGTTGGCCTGGCGTACACTTCCATTGACTAACTCCCATCCCCTGACCTCAAACCTGGTTTAGTCCC